GGGGGGGGTTGAATGCCACTCAAGCATAGACTTGAACAAATTTAGCACGTTGAAGCACAAAATACAAGTCCAAAATTATCATTATTGGAATGTTTTTTACTTTGACAAGTTTGTTAACTAAATGCATAAAAAAGGAACAGGGAGAAAAAGTGCACTCAAATGCACCTTTAGCAATAGCAAATAGAAAAGAAATTTGATAAAAATGAAATTAGTCACGAAGCTAACCTGTCAGTTGAGAGAGAAATTTTCCTTCTATTCAACCTATTTAAGACAAGTCAAGCATTCTTTCTCTCTCAGCTCTTGCTCCTCTCTTTTAAGAGTGTAAAAATCCAACATTTCATCTTCCACAGGGTGGGTCTTGCCTACTATGACAAGGCAATGCAAAGGTGCTCCAAAATCAACTGTGAGCAACTCTTTCATCGAACCTGAAACTATGATCTGATCTTCACTTCCAAGACGGGAAAAACCAACACAAGTTGTATCTTCATTGTATGCTGCAAACAAGCAATGGCACAAGCAATATTGATACAATGTGGTATTATTCAAAAACAGTGCATGAAAATGAGCATCTTAAAATTCGAGTAGATAACAAGACAGGAGGAAACAGTGCATCATTATAATTTCTCAATGCACAAGGCATGGATCCAAATTGGATGTTGGAAGTTATCTAATGGATACTTGTGTATGCTGATGACATGGCTGATGATATATGCAACTACAGGTTTATGATCTAGTTCAAGTTGAGAGAGGATTTGTTTCGAAGGAGCAAATTCAGAAAGCAAAAAACAAGGACCATCCTAATCTGGAAACATGGTACCAAACCAACTTAAATTTTTAGATAAATGTAGCACTATTTTTTTATCAATAACAGTAATAAGGATTATATTGTATCAATGCTGGGATATCTTTTGAATTGAATAATCCTGCAGATGGAACAAGTTTCACTCTAAATCAGCTATATTTGCCTCCTAGGAACTTTCCAAGTTCCAAAACTAATGATAGAAATAATAATACATAGAAATTTTTTTCATTCAAGTTTTATCCAAATTCCAAAATAGCTACTTCTCATACTAGCTATATTTTATCAGTAATAGAAAACAGAAATTTATTAAGTTAAAGAAAGATTAGTACGACAAGAGGTTGCAGCTTTTCATGACAAATCAAACCTGTGAGCATAGCCCCCTGCTATCTCAACTCAATACAAGATTTTACAATTTAGCCTAATACAGCTGGTGTTTAGTTAATCCCTTGCTTCGCTAAACTGTCAACCAAGCCTTTATATCCCTTCAAACCTTCTGATCTCAATTCTATAACTCCTTATCAATAACTGGAATTCATTAGATCAAAAGAATTTAGTTACACTGCTCCAAAGAGAGATAAACAGGCTTAACTCTCTCCAGGAAGATAACAAAAAAGAAAAAGTAACAGAACAGCCCAAAACATTTGATCCCTTCCCACCCCCTGCTTTGCCAAAGCATCAGCAAATGCATTTGCTGTTCTCTTGACCCTCTTTTAACCAACATAGACCAGCTTTGACCTTTGAGTCCCCTTCAATGACTAACTTTTGTATATTCAGTTCCTTAGACTTCCTTATACCCTCCAGTGCTGCATAGGCCTCAGCTTTGAGAGAGTCTCAAAACCCAATGGAACCTGAATGCAAAGCAAGCACCTTCCCATCCTCATCTCTGAAAACCCCTCCTACACCTGATGGACCTGGATTTCCCTCACTACTTCCATCAAAGTTTAGCTTTATAAGTCCACTTCCTGGTGGTGACCACACAAAACGAACTAAAGAGCGAGCAGGAGCAGAATTTGCCACCTCCAGCCAGCTATTCAGAAAAAACAGGTCCAAGGATTTCAGCCAATGTACCACCCTCACTATTACTACTTCAATAAGGCATTCTTTACTTCTTTCAACTTTAGAGAAAATTCTGGTGTTCCTTTCCTCCCAAAGAGTCCAGCAAACAGCAGCCCTCACACACCTCCACATTATCCTTCCCCTTTTGTTTGGCCAACCAAAGAATGAGGAGCTAAACAAACTTTGAATGTTTGGTGGTGGGGTCCACCTACAACTAAAAAAGGAAAGAAACTATTCCCAAAGATCAGTAGCAAAGGGGCAAGAAACTAATAAGTGGTAGGAGCTTTCACCATTAGCCTTGCAAAGAATGCGCCAATTCGGAGACAAGCACCAAAAAGGCCTTTTTCTTTGGAGTACGTCACAAGTATTACATCTTTCGAGGAAGGCTTCCCAACAAAAGGCTCCAATCCTTGGAGGAATAGACTCACCCCAAACATCCTTAATTGGAAAGTTTTGTGCAAATGGACTAGATGAAGGCGTAGGGACTTGAAGAAAGAGGCACAAGAGAAGGTTCCAGATGGAGTGAGGGTCCACAATCTCTTATCCCTCTCAAAGGGTTCCAACACCACCCGGTCTAAGATCTGAACCAGACTCGTGACATTTTCAACCTCTACATCCCTTAAGCCTCTTCTAAGCCCCAGATCCCAATCAAACCCATAATTAGATTGAGAAGGAACTAGAAACCTGGACACAACCTTGCCCTTAAACCGCGAGAGTGAAAACAAGGAAGGGAATTGGTCTTTCAAAGGTATCTCACCCACCCAAATGTGCTCTCAAAACTTTACCTAATTCCAAAAGCAAAGGTCATACCTAATGTGCTGCAAAAAGGAAGGAAGAATGGTATGTATAGATTCCCAAGGAGAGGCACCAACAGACCTTGCCAAAGTCACAGCTATTTCCATAGTTTATCCCTCATCCATAGTTTATCCCTCTCACCTCCCAACCTCCGCAGCTATTTCCCCAACAAGGCTTCATTTTTCCTCCGAATGTTACCTAAACCTAACCCTTTGTCAGCCCTACTCCTAGAGACTAGTTCCCAATTTACCCTTTGATCCTTCCTCTCCCCCCTAGTTCCCACAAGAAGTCTCTCATCAACTTATCCAAACTCCTACTTATCTTCATTGGAATCCTAAAAACCGATAAGTAATACATAGGCAAACTAGCTAGTGTAGACTTCATCAAAGTAATTCTACCACCTAGAGATAAATAATTCTTTTTCCAAGAGACCAGCTTCTTAGCAAATCTATCAATTACATGGCTCCAAAAGCTCTCTTTCCTCAGGTTATCCCGTAAGGGCATCCCCAAATAGTTCAGCGGCCATTGAGACATCGTACAACCCAAAGCTTCAGCCATCTCCAATATAGCTCTCTCTTCCATATTTATCCCCACCACACAACTCTTATCGAAGTTCACCTTCATATTTGACATTTGTTCAAACAATTGAATCACCAACTTCAAGTTTTCGGCCCATCTCACATCCTCCCCCTCACAGAATAGAATTGTATCATCAACAAACTGTAAGTGGGTGATAGGAATGTTGCCTTTTCCAACTCTCCGTCCCCTCACAAGACTTCTTGAATCTACTTTCTCAATTAGCCTCCCCAACACTTCAACGATCAAGGTGAAAAGAAATGGAGAGAGAGGGACCCCTTGTCTAATTCCCCTAATAGTTAGGAAGTGATCCACTACCTTTCCATTTACTAGGATGGAGTAATGACAAATCTCTATACAACTCAAGATCCAATTACACCATTTCTCCCCAAAACCAAAGCAATCCAACACTTGCATCGAAAAAGACCAATCAACCATATTGTAAGCCTTCTCTAAATCCAACTTGCACACAATCCCTTTCCTCCTTGTTCTTTGCATATCCTCCACACACTCATCGACAATTAGAATTTGATCCACAATCTGCCTATTTCCAACAAAAGCCCTTTGATTTTGTGAGATTAGTTCCGGAAGCACCTCTCTAATTCTTTTAGATAGAACTTTCGCAATGATTTTATACAAGCCATTAGCCAAACTGATGGGTCTAAAGTCTCTTGGATGACTTGCTCCCACTTTCTTTGGGACCAAAGCAATAAAAGTTGAATTCAGCCCCAGATTTATTACTCCCCCCTAGAAAAATTCAATAAACACTTTAAGGATATCCTGCTTTAATATCTCCCAACAGTCTTGGTAAAAATCCATGGTAAAGCCATCCGGTCCTAGTGCTTTAGCTCAATCCATTGAAAAAACTGCTTCCCTTATTTCCTCCAACTCAAAACTTCTTTCAAGCCACATCTTCTCCTCGGACAATGGCCAATCTAACCCTTCTACCCAGATTCTCTGGTTTAAAGGCCTTCTAAATAAAGACTTAAAATGCTCCACAAAGGCCCTAGCAATCTCATCCTATTGAGATATTGACACCCCATCTATCTCCAATTTAGAAATCAAAATTTTCCTTTCTTCTACCATTGGCCATTGCATGAAAAAATTTGGTGTTTCTATCACCTTCTTTCACCCACTTATGTCTAGACTTTTGCCTCCAACTAACTTCCTCTTTGAATAGGATGTCTTATAGTTGCTTCCTGAGCTTCCATCTTTCTTGTTTGCCTCTCACATCAAAAGTGCATCCCCTTTCTTTGGCATCCAACTCCTCAATATGATTGATCGCATCCTATTTTCTCTCTTCAATCCTTCCAAACTATAGAATATACCAATCCTTAACCTTCCTTTTTTAACTCCTTCAACTTCCAATGAAATTTCATCCCCTCCCAAATAGCACTTGGGTTAGTGTCATTTCCACTAATTTTCTATTAACTCAATAAAACCAGGGTGAGACAACCACATGTTCTCAAATTTGAAAGGAGTGGGCCCTCTAGTACCAAGATCCTCCCTCATTAAGGTAATAGGCCAATGATCTGATGTTACCCTAGGAAATGCTCTAGAAATAATAGTCCCCCAGTGCTCCTCCTAAACTACTATGAATAAAAATCTATCCAACTTAGAGCATATAGGGTTCTCTTGGAGATTGGACCAAGTAAATAGACCATGCAGCAGAGGAACCTCTTTCAACTCAAAATTGTTTATGAAGCTGTTAAACCTTCTCATGCTAGTGCTATCGCCTCTCCTCACCCTATTAGTCTCCTCTATGAATCTAATGACATTGAAATTTCTTCCTAAACACCAAGGGCCTTCCCAAAGTCCTAATTCCTCTAATGCCTCCTAATTCCTCCCAAAGTTCACTTCTTTCTCTATAACCAGTTGGACCATACACATTAGTTGATACGCACTCAAATCCATCTACCTTGTGTCTAAACTTGATAGAAATAGTAAACTTCCCAATCAGCTCCTCTACTTCCACATTGATCTAGCCCATCTCCAATCAAACTCCATCATCTTAGATTCCCGAATCAACACCAAGTCTGGATCCTCTCTTCTTATTACTTCTTTTATTAAAGGCCTTTTCCTAGCCCCCCAACCCCTTAACATTCCAACTGAGTATCTTCATCACCACTTTCTAAAAAAACCCTTACCTATCCTCTTTTCAATTGGTCCCTCTTCTTCTGCCCTTTCTCTCACAGAACTCCTTATTTTCTTTACATCTCGGCTTAGCCGTTCTGATACTCAACTTCCTCTTCCTTGGTTTACTCT